AGCCTCAGAAAGCCAGCAGATGGTGTGGCGTAAGTTACGGGCCATCTGCAAACATCCTCAGCCCTTCACCTCCGCCCTCCAATGCACGGCCAGATGCCACTCAGCCTATCGAGGCTTTTTTGAGATATGTATTGCCCATTTCCTCCCTCTCGTGCCAACTTGGTTGCTTTTTTATTGCTGGAAAGAAATACCGTAATGAAGGCAACTTATAAAAGGAAATGTTTATGAGGCTCGTGGTTCGAGAGGGGTAGAGTCCATAATCATTATGGCAGGGAGCATGGCAGCAAGCAGGCAGGCATGGTGGTGAGCCATTGGTTAAGAACTTACATCCTGATCCACAGGCACTAAGGGGAGAGAGGGAGAGAGAGAGAGAGAGAGAGAGAGAGAGAGAGAGAGAGAAAGCGCTAACTGGAATGGCAGGAGTCTTTTGAAATTGCAAAGCCCACCTTTGACACTCCTCCTCTGAGGCCACACCTCCTAATTCTTCCCAAACAGTTCCACTAACTGGGAAACAAGCACTCACATATATGAATATATGAGCCTATGGAGGACATTCTCATTCAAAGGACCACACACCATGGGCCAGGCAGACTGCTTCTTGTCCTCCCTCCCTTCCTTTCCGATCTGAAGCCTGATCTCACTGATCCCCCAGAAGGATCTCCAGCGTAGGTTCCAGCGCAGGACCTAGCCCCTACCCTGCAAGACTTCTCTACAGAAGCCTACAGAGGTGAGGTGAGGCAGCAGCAGCTTCCGTACTGAAGGAGGAGCACAGTTGTATGTAGAAATGAGGGAAGGGGAGGATGGAGAAGGAAGGAGCCCAGTGGTGAAGAGCACTGGCTGTTCTTGCAGAGGACCCGGGTTCAATTCCCAGCATCACATGGTGGCTCACAGCCACCATAACCATGCAGTCCGAGGGAATCTGGGACTTCCTCTGAACAGTATGGACATCAGGCACACAGGCGCTCCACATACATACTTGTGAGCCAGACACTCAGACACATAAAGTAAATTTTCTAAAAGGCTGTTAAAATGAAATGAGGGAAAAGGAGCAAAGCAGCTGACACCCGAGATGAGGAGGTAGGAAGGTCTGCAGATCAAGATGGGGACGGATCTTGGCGGGGTCCCTCCAGGTTCTGTCTAATCCGGGGAACTGTTTCACTAAGCTCGGGCTGACATTCTGACCAGATGAATATGAGTCAGTTTGCTGCAGACATGAAAATAAAGTAAGACTGCTCATCAGTGCAAATCACAGGCCGCAGAATCAGCCCCCGGGAGCAGCTCCAAGCCTCTGGAGACAAGGACGTGGCACCTTGGTTAGTCTTCCAGACTGTCAGCCACATACACTCTCTCTCCTCTCGGGCTGCATGCAGTGTGGACGCCTGCCCTGCACCCTCTCACCAGGACAGCATGCTGCTCAGGAGGGCTGCTGCCCCGCCTCTATTTTCTAATGGCCTCCGCTGTGGACCCATAGTAACAATTTTCCTCTCATAGGTGCTGCCAGAAGACCATGTGATAGCATCAGGACGCCGGGGCTCATCTACTGCTCCCCAGTTCTGGTGTCCATCTTTGTGACATCTCAACCCACAGTGACCATTCGAAGACAGCCCAGGTTCATGCTGGTCATTTCATCAAGCCCCTCCTCAAGTCCTTGCACCCACCCTTCACTGGACGTCCCGGTGCCCGTGGACAGAGGTATCTGTGGCTCGTGCTTCCCCTCCTTGCCTCAGCGTATCTCTGCACACAGCCATGGCTTGTCTCCTGTGCCTACAGAGCGCAGGGCTCTAGAGCTAGAGAGGTTCCGTGTCCCACAGCGTGTGGGCTCCAGAGCATTCACAGGCCTTTCAAAGGGGCTTAAAGCTGATTGGTGGGTCAAGCCTCACCCCTGACTCAAAGTAGCTGCCAAGGGCTCTGGGGAAGAGTTAGCTCCTCAGATGCACACAACCAGGCTCTCCCGAGCTTGTGCAGTTTACAGACCCTGAGTCCTGATTGGGGTAGGGCCTATGTCCTCGTGCCAAAGAAATGGTGCCTGTTCTCTACCCAATCGGGTGACACTCAAGTGACTTCACCGGGTCAAAGGCAACAAAGTCACGGACTTTGTTTGCTGTCACAGACCCAGCATTTCCACCATTCCCACCGCTATGGCAACTGCTCCCGTGCTAAAGCCGAATTAAGCCCCAGGCTTGTGCTGTAAAATCAAGCCGCTCTGCCGAAGGAACTCATAAAATCTTACACTCAAATGGGAAGCTATAACTAATCTATTCTCATGTAGTTTGTAGAAAGAGTTTGAAGATGACCCTCACAAACCCTGTCTCCTGGCGAGCAAAGCTTTTACATAAAATCTCCCTTGAGTATGACTTGCTTCTAACTCACAGAATTTGGCAAAAGAAGGGATTTTTTTTTTTCAGATGTAATTGAGGCTCCAAATTAGCTCATTTTCATCTAGTTCAAGGGAGACTTTCTAAGGTCTCAGAGGACCTGACATTGTCAGTTGAAAATGAAAGCCCTTTTGAGAACCTCCCTCTCGGAGGTTCTCCTTTCTGATTTGATGAAGAGGTAATCAGTCATGTTGCAGAAGTCTCCATGGCAACCAGTAAGTCACTTCTAGGATCTTGAGAGGTATATAGGTCATAAGGTCAGCCTCCAGTTGACAGCCAGCAAAATGTTGGTGGCTCCATCCATACAGGCATGGGGAAATGAAGTCGGCCAACACACTTAACACGCACGGAAGTCTTTCCAAGTGGGCACTCCAGATGACAACGCAGCCCAGCCAGTGTCTTCACTGTAATCTGCGCTATCCTGAGCAGAGGGCCATTCCTGGATCCATGACCCAGAACCACTGAGAGACACAGAGTACGGTAGACTCTTTGCACTCTGCACTTCTTTTGCAAATATTTCACATACTCCGAAATCTCATTCCCAAAGATGCATAAAAGCTATTGATTTCTGAGTTGTGGGATGGTGGTGATACACGCCTTTAATCCCAGCCCTTGGGAGGCAGGGGCAGAGAAATCTCTGTAAGTCTGAGGCCAGCCTGGTCTACAACAAAAAGTCTAAGCCACTCAGGGCTACATAGTAAGATCTTGTCTCAATAAAAAAAGAAAAGTGTGTATATGTGTGCTTGTGTGTGTGTGTGTGTGTATACATACATGTATATGGCTTAAATCAATATCTGGAAATAGATGCTTTCTTAGAAAAGCTTGATTTTGTTTAGAAAAAACGTTTGACAGATTATGCAAATTTTGTTTAGGGCATACAGTAGCAAAACCTAAGATACAGCTAACATTTTCTGTATTTTAAGAATTTGGAGGTATGACAGCCATTTCCATTAGTTCATGGTTATTATCCCAGAAAAAAAAGCTGAATGTTTTTATTTACCTTTTTTTTATTATTCAAAAGACAGCATATCATCTATACTGTCATGTCTTGTTTTTCTCATTAAAGCAGAACCTCTTGGCGATCCCTCGCATCCACACTTGGATTTTTGCGTGTCCTGTTTTTAACTGCAGTATAATATGCCATTGTATACTCAGAAGCACCATAATTGACTCAACCAGTTTCTTCCCCAGAGGCATTCGGATTGCGTGTGAGTTCTTTCTATTATAAACTATGAGTGAGTAAATGCACTGCTTGTTTTGGACATGTAAAGAGAGTCCACAGGATAGGTCCCACAGTGAGGCTTCTGGGGAGATGGCCAAAGGCACGTAGAACTGCGTAAATATTGACGGATTACCTTTCCTAAGTGTTTTATCTTTTACCCTCAATAACAACGAACTGCTGCAGGTTATCTGATCCCATTGTGAGTCCTGAGATTGTGAACTATAAAACCAGTTTCTGATTGTGCTGTGGCTCAGCCATGCTTTCTGCTTACTGCAAACAAGTAGCTGTGGTGTGGCTCAGCTCGAGCACACACCTCATATTCAAGAGCTTTCTGTAAACAGGATTAAATAAAGTCAACCCAGGGCAGGAGGAAGCTCAAGCAAACAGCTGCCAGGGACTAAACAGAAAGGAGGGACATCAAGAGAAGGGTGTTGAGGACAGGGCGGAGGAGAAGGGGATTTCTGCTTTTTCCTTCTGGGAAGTCCGCCGAGGAGGAAGGTCAGCTGGGTGCTGTCTCTGTCTCTCTGAAGTGCTGTCTCTGCCTCTCTGAAGTAGCAGGCTTTCACCCCAGCATCTGGGGTGAAAATTTTTTTACCAGAGTCTTCACTGGTAAAAAAAAAAAAAATAAGTCTGCGATTTTCTTTCTTTGTAACAACAATAAGTACTCCGTCTTCTTCACAGCTCCTAGAAAGAAGTATTATAAACCTGGGTTTCTCCCGGCATGAAAGGTGAGAGAAGACAGCTCACTGTAAACTTTTCTAAAGTGATGCTTACAGGTCATAGGGCCATGGGAGGAATGGGTGAATGGAAAAAAAAATGAAGTATTATTTGGCAGTTAAGTAGATTGTAATGTCCTTTGTAAAAAAAAAAAAAAAAAAAAAAAAGAATCATGTTAACCAAATTAAACCAGAACCAGAGAGGAAAGTGTTAGTTACACGTTTGCTCTCATATGTAAGCACTAAAAAAAAGAGGAATTTGATCAAATCTTTGGTTTATATACAATAAATCCTTGTACATGAATAAATATGTTTAAAAAACGACAACCTTGAGAACACGCTGGGGAGTAAAGGAAAAAGAGAGGAGCTTCGCTTACTCTTCTGTGTGGATCTATTTTAAAGCTGCAGCAGGTCATACCGGCGCAGAGAAGATCAACAGAGCAAAAGAAAAAGTTTCAGACGACAAGGGGCGAGGTCAACGGACGTCCACAACGGACGTGTGGACAATGAAGGACCATGGCACTTCCTATACTCCGCTTTCCTTCGTAGGCCCAAATCAGTTCCTAGTAGATTACAGGTCTAACTTCTGAACTCTCACGTTTCGTTTAATATCTTGAGTTTGGAGGTCCTTCTGAGCATAGCGGAAATTATTCCTTGATTCCTGACCAAGAAAAACTGAGGGGCAAATGGTGTTGTAGACTCTTTATTCTCAAGGCAATTTAAAGGGAAATGACTGATACATTTGACTTTACAACTATGAAGGTTTTGTGTGATGATACATAGCACAAATGAAATTTTAAAACAATATTATCCTTTTTAAAAATGACACACTGGGAAAAAGCTAATGAAATATATGTCAGGTAAGCATTAAAATCACAATGATATAAAAAGCTTTTTTGGGGAAAATGTTTGTGGGGAGAGGGTGATCCGTGTGGGTTCAGGTTTCCACAGAAGCCAGAGGCACTGGGCTTCCCCAGATCTGGAGTCACAGTGACTGTGAACTGTAAGACGTGGATGCTGGGAACAGAGCTTGGAGCCTTTGCCAGAGCCACGTGTGCTCTTATCCCCTGGACCACCTCTGCAGCTCCATCGAGAGTTTGTTCAATCAGTAAAAGGCACGTGCCTTATGAAGAAAAAAGGTTCCCAGAGACTGAACTACAGAGGGCTAGCCAGCATGTGGAGCTGTCAAGAGATGCAAGAAAACATCAAACTCTCCACCTCCCAGAGGCACCAAGATGAGGGGCACCAACAGCAGCCGCGGGAGTTGAGGCTTTCTGCTGGAGAAAGCGTGAATTGACTTCCCGATGGCACTTCACCGGCATGTGTAGTTCAGTGCAAAGCACAGACAGTTTTTATTCCAACGACCTTACTCCCGTAAATTTAGTCTAAGTAATAGCTGCATGCCGGAAAAACTCTAAGTGTGTATGCACAGTGGCGCGCTCTTAAATAAAAGGTAGGGTGTCAAGACTCAGCGCCACGGGCCGCCACAGGCCCATTCTCTCTGCACCCGGAGCATGCAATGCTTTTAAAAAGGGATTTGCTGTGGGCTAGAAAATTGGTGGGGGTTAAGAGCACTTGCTGCTCTTGCAGAGGACCAAAACACAGTTCTCAGAACTCACGTGGTGGCTCATAACCACCCACAACGCAGTCCCAGGGGGTCTGACGCCCTCTTCCGACATTCTCCTGGTGCACAGACATACATGCACGCAGATACTCATTCATAGAAGATAAATCTTTGGAAATTGGTCTCCTTTCTTGCACCCTTCACTGCATAAACCTGAACATGAAACCCATGTCCTCTCTCCCTTTAGAAACAAACACCTGGCCTTAGACAATGATGACCAGGGCTTTTCTAGAAGAGAATAGAAAAAATAGAAGATTTTGAAAATCAAGATGCAAGTTCAGCATTGAAAAGGGTTCACTGAGCACTGTTTGTGTTGTTGCTGTTTGTTTTGGTTGGTTGGGTTTTTTTTTGTTTTGTTTTTTTGTTTTGTTTTGTTTTGTTTTTTTGAGACAGGATTTCTCTGTGTGTTAGCCCTGGCTGTCCTGGACTTGCTTTGTAGATCAGGCTGGCCTTGAACTCACTGGGCTGCCTCTGCTCAGGAGGCACCACCATGCTCTTCAGGCATTGCTTTTCACTTCCTCTCAAACCCATTTAAATATTAACTTTATTCCAAGCTGCCTTGGAATTTCAAGAGAAACACACCACTGCTCTGGGCTTACCTCAAGGGCTGCAGTTCCGACCTTCGACAGAAAACACTGTTCTGCTATCCCTAATCAGTCTCATATTCATTTTCTTGGTTGTTTGTGGCTCCTTCTGGAAGTGACAGGTGGTGGAACTCAACAGTCAAAAGGGCGGCACAGGGACTCCTGTCTAGGTAATGTGGAGACTCATAATAAGGTAATACAGTTTAAAATTGACATGACATTAGAGATAGAAAGACATGGCTTTCCCAAGACCAAAGAGGTAGTCTACAAATTACCTCAGTGGCTACTTCAAGGGCTAGCAAATGGCAGGGAAGAAAACTAGACTTGCATTAAAAGTCAGAAATCTGTCTGCATCTGTTTCTCCTTCCCCAACCCCCACACCCTGCCAAGCCCTTTTGTTGTTGTTGTTGTTATTTTTTCAAGACTGGGTTTCTTTGTGTAGCCCTGGCTGTCCTGGAACTAGTTCCACAAATCCGCCTAGGTCTGCCTCCCAAAGGCTGGGATAAAAAGGCCTGCACCATCACGGCCCGCCCGTTTCTCCCTTTAAAATAGGAACCACAGACCCCTGACTTCCTGCCACACAGAACCTTGTGAGGATGGATGAATAGGTGCCTGCTGTACAGCTAAGGGCACACCCACCAACTACATACACACACACCCCAACAACAAAAACCTACACTAGCCCAAAGCAAGCATGTTCCATGACTGAGCAGAGCCTCAATTCCAATTCCCAATCTGGAAGAAAATACAAAGCCAGATCTAAACAGCCCCAAGACCAGTCATGAGGGAGAGAACTTTCCTCCACCCCTGCATTAGGCTTTAGCTATATTTTTTAAATTAAATTAATTTTATTTTGTGTGCACCTACATGTGGATATATGTGTGGGCATGCACATGACATGGAGCACAGGTGACATTCAGAGGACAGTTTGCTAGAATGAGTTCTCTCCTTCCCCTGTGTGAGTCCCAGCCTCCGTCTTGGCCGTCAGCCTGAGCCGCCTCTCTGCCTCGAGACCTAGCTTTAGTTAGTGGGACTCACAAGCCAGCTCAGCACCATGGCAGACAGAGTTTCTCCTTTCTCAGTTGTTTTTCCAAGGACACCTATGTATCTCCTAAGGGTCGCTCCTCCTGTTGGCTGGGAATCCAGACACGGAGGGGAAAAAAGGTATTACAGTACAAAGATGCCTTCTTCACGCTGTGGGAACACTACTTAGAAAGAACGGCAGAAAGATGAAGCACGGCTTTTGCGCACGCCCACCGCCTGCTGCTCCTGTGTGCACGGAGACTCCACGTCGTGATTGGGGACAAGGAAGGAAATAACCAAGTATGTGTGTTTGCTATTTTTGTGGCTGTAGATGAACTCCTCTAATATTTCTACACTGTGCTACAAGCTGATAGTTTACTTAACATTTCATCAGTTAACCTGAACCGAGATTTCCTCCTTTCAGTGGAAAATTTTCCAAGCCCCCATGTAGGCAACTCTGTCTTGGACAGTTTTTCTAGAGTGCAAATCTAGAGAGCTGTAGAAAAGGCAGTCCTAAGTTGTTGTGTAGGGTTGGTAATTCAAAGGACAGAGGGTGCCAGTAGTAGCAAGGGCCGTCGGCTGGCACAGAGGACACAGGTATCTGGGTGCTGCCTCCCTCTGCTGGACTTTTCCCAGTTAAGCAGAACACTCCCCACCCCCACCCCACCCCCAGGTTGGAGCAGCTTTAAGGACAGTCTGATGGTATTTTAATCTGAGCATCAGTGGTTTCTGAAAAAAACAAAAAGGACGATAACTTCAGGAGCCTGCACAGCACAAGGGCATGGCACCGCATCTTCGGGACTTTTGATGAGGGTCTCGTGATCCTTCAAAGCAGAGTGGAATGCAGAAGGAAGGGTAGACTGACTCATGGGTGCCACGTGCTCTTCTGGTAACTAAGCCAGTCCCATAAGAAAGGCACTAATGTCTCTAATGTTCAAGTCAGCCACTAAAGGTCCTACCCCAACCAATTTCACCATGAGTTTTGTGGAGACTAACCACACACAGCACCAGGTCACCAGGAGGTCACCAACACCCTGAAAGCCAGCAGAGAACGCGCCAGCCACAGCGCTGGTGGTGCGCACTTCCAGGACCACATTCTCACGGGTTCCACCCTAAGGTTCTACCATGTAACCAGCGCCGCACTTCCTTCCCCATGCTTTTAATTCTATAGGCCTACCAATCGAAGGAGGGGGAAGGGAAAGAGAAGCCACAGCCTTGGAGTTGAGCTGTCTTTAGACAAGAAGCTGAAGGACACCAGCTGGGTTTAAAAGCCAAACTGAATACATTTCACCTGTATATTCACCATATGGACAGTAGGCCGGCCCCGCCTACAGCCAGCTTTCACAGGCCATGACGCACTGTCTCAGTCACCGCTTCCGAAGTGTAGGTAAGGTATGTGAGTCACCGTTATCTCCCAAAACTCGTGCGGAGGCTGACCATGAGCCCACTGCTCCTACTTTATCACCAAACCCAAATTTCTTAAGGGAGGCAGAGAACAATTTTATAGATAATGAGTACGAACAAAGAATGATAACTAAAGAGAGAATGGTCAGAATTACAGAACGCGTCTTGCTGGAAAGCAGGCATTTTGATCTCACATAAACAATTGAAATTGCATCAAAACAATGCTGCCTAACGGTCATGCAGGGAACTTGAGAGACTGACCAGGCTATTGTATTTTCTGGTACAGGCAAGGGGCTACTTGTAAAATGTTTGAAACATTTATTCATGTCGGTGTCCTTTATCCAGTGACCTTCTTCCTAAAGTCAAATTCTAGCCCAGACTTAAGCCCATCTCATTACCTACTGTGACAGATGGATTCTGAACTAACTAACAAAGGTGCCTAACAGGAGGTGTAGAGGTTCCACATCCGGCAGCTATGGGAGCTGACTCTCAGAGTCTGTGGCCTGTGCACGTCCAGTGTTTACAGGGCTGGCTCCTAGGGCCTGTGGCCAGTGGTCAGTATTACATTGGACATGAATCTCAAGTTCATGGACATACAACTGGTCCAGAAAGCAGGATCCCAAGTTTTCTCCTCTTGGAAGATTCCACAGAGATGGTTGCCATCTTGAATTCAGGAATGCGGTCATGCTGGGAGGGAGAAAGTTTCTGGTCCAAACATGGGCTCAGGTGGGGAGCCACACAACGGAGGCACCTGAGAAGTTGTCAGCACATCTGTCCATCATCAGGTCAGTGTTCCCAAGCAGAGCCCACCAGCCATCTAGACACGGAGGGGGAAGAGAAGGCACAAACATTGCACACCCTTTTGTTTCCTCACTGCGTGCCCTGTCTGTGGCTCATACCCATGTCCCAAGGCTTCGGCAGTGAAACTGTGTAGGAGATCAGCCTTACTGCCACACTGACGGGGTCAGGAGGCCGTCTCGTCTTCCTCCAAGCTGCAGGGTTAGTCACGCTGTCTGTCTACCTGCTGCCTGTGCCCTGACCCTCCTCATATCCAGCTGTTCTGCATGACTCCCACCCCAGACTCCCCCCATTCCACTCATTTTTAAAAAATGACACTCTCACATACCACACTGCTGAGAAGGATAGGAATGCAAGAATGGTCACAAAAGCCACGGAGCCCAGTCCAACACCCACCATCTGCTGCGGTGTGAGTGACGAATCTGTGGGAAGAAACCACACGGTGAGCCCACAGCACACCCATCACGGCCCTCCCGGGAGATCCACATCCAACCGTGCAGTCTGTTTTAACCCAGGGCTGGGCTTCATTTAACAAAGAATCCCAAGAATGCCCCCACAGTGCCTCTGTGTCCCCAACAGGTCCTGAAGATTTCAGGCCTCAGGAAACCACAGTTTCAAAGTATTTCTAAGAAGGAAGCATAAAACCAGATCATATTAAGATGAAAACAAACAAACAAACACAAACAAACTTGTGGCCACATCCAAGCTATAATGCATACTATGTGTCTTCTCTCAGGTCAGTTACACTTGGTAGATTTTTACGGGCCATTTCCTTTCACATGGAAGAAATTATTCTGACATCATTTGAGCTTGGCCTTCAACAGCGTTGGTCGGCTCCAGTGCTCACGTGTAAATCCCTTTTGTTGAGCAGAACTGCCTCCAAGTCCCTACATTATCAGCAGATAGTATCACCCTGCTCTGCCTCACAGGCTTTTTAAGTCCAAGTAAAAGCCCTTGGAACACATGTTCTATTCAAGGAATGTCACATGACAATTCCAGGAAGATCCCTGAGCCTCATGACTCCAGCAGAGGCTCTGTCTTTACTTATCAGGCTCTGTGGCACGTGGTACCGTTGTAAGCACCTTACACGTGGAAACTCAGTCTCCTGTGGTAGTTAATCTTGAATGTCAGCTGGATTGAGAGACAGCTGGGAGAGGAGGAAAGTTCATTCCTGGGTGTGTCTGTGAGGCAGGAATCTGGACCCTCAATAAGCTGGGGCCTGGATGAACAGAGGCAGAAGGGGGCTGGCTAGCTTGGGCTCGCTTTCCCGCTCTTTGCTTCCTGGCTACCATGAGGTGAGCAGCCTGGTCTGGCGCATGCTGTGCTGCTTGATTCTAGCCAAAGCGATGGGGCTAGCTGACCTCAGACAGACACCCCTGGAACTCTGAATCCAAAGAAACCTTTCATTCGACGGTCTCTGACATGAACTCAGTGGCTAGCTCTTTGACTGCCTCCCCCTGAGCGGGGAGCAGCCTTGCCAGGCCACAGAAGAGGACATTGCAGCCAGTCCTGATGAGACCAGATAAGCTAGGGTCAGATGGAAGGGAAGGAGGATCTTCCCTATCAGAGGACTTGGTGAGGGCCATAGGAAGAGATGAAGAAGGGAGGGTGGGATTGGGAGGGGGGGGGCTACAGCTGGGATACAAAGTGAATAAACTGTAATTAATATAAAAAATTAAAATTAAAAAAGATACCTTTTACTCACGTAAGCTGTTTGTTGAGTTACTGTGTTCTCATGATGAGAAAATAACTCAAGCATCTCCTAATGAATGTTTATCATGAGAACTATTATTGTTCCCTTTCCACAGGTAAGGGACCAAGGCACAGAGTAATTAAGCACAGCTCAGAAGTCTATGACTAGCTTAAAAACACTTTGGGTCCAGTGGAAACTCTGTGGGGTCCCAAACACCCACAAGCAGTCATGAAGCACACCGCTTTAACGGTCAAACAAAACTCACTGTCCCCCAAAGTGTTGTTACAAGACTTTCTAGAAAACCACGGATTGGCCAGGTATGTGGTATGCACCTATAATCCTAGCATTTGGGGAGTCGAGGCAGGAGCATCATAAGACCAATTTGGGCTGCACAATAAGACCGTATTTCAAAATTTAAAAAAAAAAATTATGCTTTTTGTATTTTGAAGAAGAGGGCCTCAACATTTTAAGATGCTAAGTTATCAAATGGAAAGAAGAATATGAGATATTGGAATTTACTTGTATATTATACATGAAAAGACTTGATTACTATACATAGAGACAATGGAACATTAGCACAGGAAAGAATATGATGGAACAAAACAGAGTGCCCAGAGCAAAGCCAACTCCTGCAAGCCATTTCACAGCTTGAATGCTGCAATGATGGTGCCTTAAGTCTTTATCTCCACACCCTCCCTCTCTGTCATTAGGATTTCAAACCAGGTCATCAGCCATCTTGCTCCAGTTTCCACACTGGGGCATGCAGCACTTGGAAACTGTATCAACAGGAAATTGTATCTCACAGTAGCCCATAGTAGCACCAGCTGCCCAGTAAGGGAGCAGCAAATGTCAGCTACTATCAACTTTTGTTACCATTGTTTTGTAACTGTTTCAAACAAATGAGTGAAATGAGAAATCACCTATATCTGGTAAAGAGAAAAAAGTGGTTAATCAGAATAAAGTGATTTTGATCACTAAAGTTTATTCCATATACCAAAATAAATTTAGGTAGATTAAAGACAAATTGAAACATGAAAAAAAAAAAAAACAACCTGGGAAATGTTGGTGAATACTTACATAATATTAAAGTGGTTGAGAATCTTCTCATTATATTTATGAAAGCAGGAGCCTTATAGACTTAACCACATTGGAAAGCATGCATTTTAGATACACAAAACTACCATTAGCAAGGTTAAAAGGCACCATTTGCATTATCAGTGAAGTTTTTAGTTTGTAATAGCAAATGCCCCCTTTAATCCCAGCATGTAGGAGGCAGAGGCAGGCTCAGAAGTCAGAGTTTGAGGCCAGCCTGCTATACAGAGCAAGTTCCAGGACAGCCAGGGCTACACCGAGAAATCTTGTCTCAAACAAATAAAAACAAATGAGAGATAGAAAGAGAAACAGAGGGGAATACAGCAGTGGAGATGGGGGTTAAGAGATGCTGGTACTTTCATGCCGTGAGTGCCTTATGGGACTAATCCTACTTCCCCTCCAGGTCTTGTCAATATTTTCCCTTATCTTTTCCCCACATACTTCCCCTACACTTTAATCTTTGGTGAATGAAAACGTTGAGCTGAAGGACTCTGGACTGGAGTCCGTGCTCTGTGAGCCCTGGATTCAGGAGTTACTGGTTAGTTGATGTTAGCTTTGCAGATTATCCATTTCTACTCCTATCTACAGCCCTCATATCTCCCTACTCTGTCCACAGGCATGTCATTAAGTGTTAGCAGAAATCAAAATACACTGTTTTCTGTCTTACTTCCTCGGCCAATGAGTGGGTCTGTGTAAGGAGGAAAGGAGAGACAGCTGAGCAAAACTTCACGCCCCATGCTGACTCATTAGAAACACTGTCACTGTTGCTGTCAGTGAAAGCCAAGCTATCACCTTGCTGGCCTTGACTTCACGCTGTCTTTGGGACACTTTTGGTGGTGCTGTCTTTGTACAAAGTCCTTGTCTACTGCTCAGCCAGGCCTTCTCTTCCAGATCTCAGAAGGGTCAGCAGCAGCTCTTTATCTGTCTCATTTGAAACTATGTGAATCTTCTCTGAGGTGTTTTACACAGGTGGAAAGATATTAAGACCCCTCACAATCCAAAAGGACAGAAGCAAAGTAGGAGCTGAGGAAGCCAAGTTTCCCCTGCCCGTCCACTGCCAGCACCTGCCTCAGGAGTGAGCCATGCTATTCCTTGCTGTAGACATTGGTATTAAACCGAGACCTCTGGGGCTGCTGAGCCGATGAGTCAGAGATTAGGAGCACTCGCTGATCTTCAGGAGGAGTGGGATTCAGTTCCCGGCGGCTCACAACAGCCTGTAACCCCAGTGCATCTGACACCCTCTCTGGCCTCTGAGGGTATAACAGTCATAAGGCACAGACTCACGCGGACACAGGTGCACACATAAATACTAAAAAGTGACCTTTATTTATTTTGCATAGCGTAATGTGGACTTCGGCTGCCAGCATGATTTTCAGTCCTTGGTTGCAGGTCTTTTAGTTCACTCTGGCTACAAACTCAAAGTCTACAGCAGCACCCAGAAGGTGTAGCCACACACAGCTTCTTCCTCTGAGAATGACTGGCTAATAAAACTTACAAGTAGCCAATTTGAATTTCTTTTTATTTTTATGGTCGTGCCATTCTCTGGCTCCCCTCCCTTCCGCAGTCTCATGATGTGGAACCTTTAATTTTCCTTCTGAATCATCCATGGAATAGTCTCTTAGAAACTCAACTGAGTGGTTCATGTGTTGTTAGTCATTCTTAGAGAAAGTGAATACATTTGAACCATAACCTTCCTCTCTACAGAGACTGTGCTCAGGAGTAAATGGGACCCCTTTTTACTCTTTCACCAATAGAAAAGACCACAGGTGCTGGAGAGGAAATTAGATCCTGTGACAACCTTGGCGACTTCCTGTGAGGGTGGACATGTTTTCAGAACTGTACACAGGGATGGTCATTTCCCAAACGCAACTGTTGCCAGCAAATAGTACAAATAAATTAACACCATGACTCAGTGTGGCTTGGGACACATCCAGACAGCAGTTGGCACGTCAGTGTGAACACAGGAGGAAAAGAGTAAGATTTAGTGTGTTTGATTTCTCTTTGTTACTCTAGGGTCTTCTTATTTACTATCCCTGCACTCGGTGACATAGAAAAAGGGAGCAAAGCAGGAAGTAAATTCGGAGATAATTAATGTTTGATAAAGCAGCAACATTGCTGAAACCATTTGATGGTAACTTAACACATTGCTGGAAGTTTAGATAGCTGTAAGCTCACTCATTAGCTCACAGCTCTGTGGTTCCAGGCTCAGGTACACTGTGACGGGTTCTTTGCACAGACCCTTTACAGGGCTGAACTCAGTGTGTTCAATGGCCCACCTTTCCTTCTGGAGGCTCTGGAAAGAATGTGCTCCCAAGTTCATCCCCACTGTCCGCTAAACTCAATCCCTTAACGTTACAGAACTGCAGTCCTCATTTTTTTATGGTCTGTCAGCAAGGTCTGTCTCTGAGTTCCTGCAGGCCACCTGCACACCTTGCCACGTGGCTTTTCAAAGCTAGCAGGAAACTTCCTCTGTCAAATCTTTCTCACCTGTAGCAGCTTCAACATCCCTAGTCCCTGACCTGTAGAGCCAAGTTCAAGGGTTTGTGTGACACACCAGGGCCAGTGGTGTCAGAGAGACCACCCTATAGCTCTACCTACCACACTCTGAAGGTTTTTTTAGTGTGTGTGTATGTGTGTGTGTGTGAGAGAGAGAGAGAGAGAGAGAGAGAGAGAGAGAGAGAAAGAGATCCCCCTAACAGATTGGTTCCAAAAAATCCTCCCCTAAGATACCAGATTTTTTTTTAATATTAAAGTCTCACATAAAATGTGTTTGCATAGAATAGAATCGGTCTACAATCTCTTGTGTACTTTGGTTTGTCTCCAGAGCACTTAGAATGCTGAAAACATGTAAATGTTATGCAATAGCTGATATACTATGTTGCTTTAGGAATAGCGACAAGGAAAAAGCCAGCCTGTATTTGGCACAGCACAGCCATTGTTTTCCAAACTATCTCTCAACCTTCAGCCAACTGAGTCCACAAATACCTGGATACAGTTGGCTGACTCTGTGTACTTGCACCTTCACCTTAAGCTTGTCTCTTGCAGGCTTTCTCTGCAGATTTAATTTGACAAGCATTAACTCTGTGCTGCATTCTTCCTAAGACTGCTTGCAGCCTACCTCCTAAACATCTAATGCAGGCCAGGCGATGGTCCAGTTTTCTTCAATGTTCTTCCCACGTCTTCAAAACCTCATAGAAAAATATATTAGCAGCTGCTCTGCAGTGTGGGAGAGAGGGTAGCTAAAGAAAAGGGGAGGAGAGCAAGGCGTGACCCTGAGGAGTTCTGACAAGCTTCGGGAAAGGGGCGTTTGGTTTTCATACTGAAGAGGTGGACTCCAACAAGCAGCCAGTCACAGATAGCTGGCAGGGCATCCAGAGGGGAGTAAGAAGGCCACTGTGTGAGCAAAGACATTAAAGAGAAATAGAGAGCATAGCTAGGACACCATCTGAATGGAGAAGAATGAGAGAAGTAATCAGAAGGTGTGTCGGCGTTAAACCGAGGCCTCAGACACAAGGCTGGGAAGCAGTGGAAAACCCTTGAGGAGCTACCAAAGGAAATACTGAAATGAGTAGTGCAGCTCAGAAGTGAGTCAGGTGACAGCAGGCTAGGAGAAAGAGGGGAAACCTGAACTCTTGTGATGGGAGACGAACAAGGAGGCTTTGCCATCTATTTGTGCTACAGGATGAGCTACATAAACAGAAATGAACATGCCAGCTGAGAGAGAAATGAGGAGTCACCAATGACTCGGGTTTCATTCCTGTGCCTGGAGAATGTTCCCTGACTATAGCTCGCCATCATCTCAGTGACTCAACAAATCAGACTCACAGTGCTTTGTGGCTTTAAGGAATCTTAGTCCAGGCAGAGGCGACCGAGCTCTAGCCAAGCTAAATACCTTTTCAAAGACACTGTCTGATCAGGAGCTTGATGGAGGCAAGGGAGCTCAGGCCTCTGCATTTGACATCAAATACAATTCCCTGGCTATAAAGCTATCTTAGTGTGGCATTGTGACAAAGGTAAACACAAAACTCAGTACTGGGCAAAAGCCAGAATAGGGCCAAACACTGTGCATTAAGGACCTGAAATGATCTGGGGATGAACCTGGATCACATTCCTCTCCAATTACCGAATGGGAGTTGTCCCAGTTAAGACTTCTACTGCTGCAGTGGAACGCCATGACCAAAAAGCAAGCTGGGAAGAACGGGTTTATTTGGCTTACACTTTCATGTCACAGTCCATCACTGAGGGAAGCCAAGACAAGAACTCAGAGTAGAAACCTGGAAGCTGGAGCTAATGCAGAGGCCATAGAGAGGTGCTGCATATTGGCTTGCACACATGGCTTGCTCAGCCTGCTTTCTTAGAGCACCCAGGACCACCAGCCCAGGGATGGCCCCACCCACCATAGGCTGGACCCTGCCACATCAATTACTGATGAAGAACATGGTCTACAGGCTTGCCTACAGCCTGTTCTTATGGAGGCATTTCCTCGGTTGAGAGGTTCCCTTTTCTCCAGTGACTCCAGATTGTGTCGAGTTGACATAAAACTAGCCAGAATAGGAGTCTTCACTATTAGTTGTTTGCTTGTTTGTTTATCATCATTATGATCATCATTTGGTTTTTGAGACAGAGTCTCATTACGTAGCCTTGGCTGCCCTGCAGGTCACTATGTCAAACAGGCTGACTCAGAGACTTGCTTGCCTCTGCCTCCCAATGTGCTTGGATTAAAGGTCCTCAGTAATGATTCTGAAGTTAAGGGGGGGAGAGAAGGACAATGACAAAAGCCACTCTATACTAAAAACTCGTCCTATTCATCACAAAAGGCCAACTACAGCCTCCCCTCTGGCAGTTTGTTCTGCCTGGTTTGAATGTTTCCCAATCCTATCAAATAGTTTCTGGAGAGGGTAGGTTCCAGAAGCTGTTGTCTGTGTCTGAGAGCTTGCACATCTCACTCACAACTAGTTTCCTTGTAAGAACTCTCTTCTGTCCCTGTAGCTTCAGGGAGTGGACTGGCTTAAGATGTTTTGGATGTTGGAATGTATGACTGTTTCCTGTACCCTTCATTATACTGCTCCAGAAAAGAGAGGTCGGCCACAGGCACATGTCTGTGAAGACGTCAGAAAAGAGAGGTCAGCCACAGGCACATGTCTGTGAAGATGACAGAAAAGAGAGGCTGGCCACAGGCGCATGTCTACAGCACAAGAAAGCCGTCATCTAAGGCACCTGGCCCAGCTCCAAAACCAACTATTCTACCCTGTTGAAGAAGGTGCGAGTAGAGATAAAAAGATGGTAAGACGAAGGGAGAGGCAGGCAGACGAAAGCCTCATTCCCTCAGCCCCTCCTCCTCACATCCTGCTAAGTCCTCTCTTTAACCAAGCGTCCTCGATACAATCCTGAAAGCAGCTGTGCCTCTCCGCTCCACTACTACAGCCATAATCTCCCTCGTGGCAGTGCTCACAGGGATAGTAAGGACTTAAAGTGACAGTGTAGGCAGAGGGCAGCGTTCCTCAGCCTATTACCAGGAAAAGGGCCAAAGTCAAAGGTTATGGATTTAACAAGATATCTGGAATTAGCTACAAATAATGGAATTCCTAGGAATTGCCTATTTTGGTTTTAAAGAGATGGTCTGCAGGGGAAGCCTGACAAACAAGGATCCATGATTACTCAGTCCCGAGGCAGCTTCCCAACTCATCACCAGCTCTGCAGCAAACAGGAGGAGGGCTGTGCAGTCAGGTGGGCCTGCATCGGGGAGCCTGACTCACCACATGCTCTAGGCTGCTGCCAGGACAGCTTAGGCTTTACCTATCCAGCAGGGTGCTCACTGTCAAGGGCGCTGGTGTTTGCTGGTTGATGTCATGTATAAAGTTTGGGAACTATTATGTTTCCATGTATCATAAGCTGCACATCTGGAGCTGATCAAGAAGAATGTACCACCCCTGGATTCCCAGCCTTGGAGTTGGATGCAGGAACCAACCTTTGAACTAGGTTTTTTTGCTACATTCTTTCTGGGGTTTTGTTTTATTTTTTTCCCCTAGATGTAGGATAATTCTATTTTGTTAATGAATTGTTTTTTCTTAATATATTATGCATAATTTAACAGTGGAGACAATTCTGAGAAATATGTCAATGGGTAATTTTTTGTGGTGCAAATATAACAGAATATTCTTAAACAAAATAACATGAATGGCTATGTCTTTGGCTGGCATAAACTCTTTCCCTTTTAGACAGAGTCTTGTTATAGATCTCAGGCTGACCTCAAACTCACACTCCTCCTCCCTTTGTCCCCTAAGTGCTGGGTTACAGACACGCATGATCCATGCCAAGCACTAAGAGATGCGATCTTTTGTGCCTTTCCTGTATTTGTGGTCCACTACTACACTAAGTTGCATTATTGGTATGTGGCTGAGTGTGTTTATGTGAATATACAGCCAAACAGCGGGTCTCAGCTTCAGCGGCTCTTACTGTGGTCTGTACCCAAGCTTTCCGGTGCCCTTAGTCTTGACAGGAATCTTTCTCCCTTCTCAGTGTGTCTCTGCTAGAAAAACTGCTCATGCTGCTCGGTTCCCAACAAACCCAAAACACAAAACCCAACACAGACTGAGCCTGATCTTAATCCAAGTTGACTCAGCCAATGAAAAGTCACTTAAGCTAGGAGGAAAGACTCCTCTAAACTCTGTCCCCACTCAAGTCATTCATCTCCTATCACATGGCCACAGCAGAAAAACAGTGAGGCCAGCTGACACTGACACAGCTCTTTATATAATTCCATGAACCTCTTTGGTTATGGCTTTGCGCTTAAAAATGTCATACCCAATGCCATGAGAATGTCTATATTTTTCTGAAGATACCTTAACTTGTATGTCTGTTGTCATCTATGACAATATAAAACAAGTTCTCAGTGTAAAATTGGTGCTACAAATTGAACATGGGAGGACAGCATACATACAAGAACACAGTTTTACCTTTCACCTCCGCCCAGACAGCACAGGAGTATCTTCTCTCCTGGAAGGAAAACAGAAGTCCATCTAAGCAAGGAGGCAAGGGCATAATTTAAACAACATAACACAGATCTGAGGTGCTCTGACTAGTTCCACCCGGCTTCTATAAGTGTGTGCACTTATGCTTTTTGTTGCTAGGGATTAAACCCATGGCCACTGAGCCACGATCCCAACTCTACCTCTTACATCCCATAATCCAGCCATTGATCACAGGGGTTAAGGGCTGGCATGGGTACAGGCATAGGGGTGACTATAGACATCACTTCCACAGGTTTCCAAAAGATCTCAGAGAGCTCACACCATAAGCAGACAATGAATATCAGGAGCGTCATTCCTGCCAACAGCCCTGAGCAACTGTCATGGACTGCCTGGGAACCATGCTGAAAACTCTGAGATGGCACCTGGCTTCTAAAAGAAGTATGTTACAGGCAAGCAATGAGAAGCTCTGGCACATAATACTATTTTGTCTATCTGAGTGAGGCTTAACAACTTCAGTTACCCAAAAGGAGCTTTCAGGAAGACATAAGAGACCTACAAACTCACAGGAATGGAGTATCTCATCTTCTGGCCATTGTTACCACTCACAGACTCAATGTGGATGGCTGGGACTCCCTAGGGGAAGGAGCTGTAGAATGACCCTTCCAATCTTATTATGAGACTCTCTTTCAAGTGACACATTTGGGCATTTTGGTTTTTATGTTCTTAAAAGGCTTTAAAAATATATTTAAATGAAAACACTTTGGGGAAATGCTTCAAATAGCCACAGATTTTAAATATAATTAAATTTTGTCTCGAGGCTAAGTTTTAAAGTTAGAAATGCATGTTAAGCAAAGGGCTCCCAGATAGCAAGGTGGTTACTAAGGAACTGAAAACTTCCCAGCGGAGAACCTGACAGCGCCAGGTGAGACGGGAAAGTCATTCCCGAGCCTGGATCAGTTGTGCGTTTTACCAAACTCACCCTGCAGTAGCTGGAGCAAGGAGGGGGTTCAAAACAAGAGACGAGAATCTGAGTAAATGACGGGCGGAGAAAAGATGACAAGCTATAGACAACACCGGCTTTTTTAAAGAGCGATTTAAAAACAGCATCACCGTGACAGAACTGACCCAAGCGATAGAACAGAAAAGAAGGTGAGAACGGGGGAGAGAAGAATTATTTCTAGTTTCCTCCCTCAGCTACAGGGCACAATGGGGTTATTAATTAGAATGAATGTGTGTAAGGAAAAAGAAAATGGAGACACTGGAAGACTTACACTTTCAAAATATACTATGAAGATATGTAAATCAATGAAGCAGACTATAGCATCCAGCAGTAAATCCTTGCATATATGTCAGATAGTTTTGAAAGAAGCACTTAAAATGGTTAGTTTGGTCAACTCGATACAATCTCAAACCATCTAGAAAGAGAATCGTAATGAGGGGCTGTCTAGATCAGGTTGGTCTACAGGTATGGCTGCCTCAATCAGGCTGGTCTACAGGTCTGGCTGTCTGAAGGAATGAGGGATTGGTTTGATCATTGTAATCGGCAGGAAAGATGCAGCCCACTGTGGGTGGTGTCATTCCCTATATTTGGATTCTGGGCTACGTAGTAGTGAATAAAGTAGCTAAGTAATATGCATGCATGCATTCATTCGCCCCCTGCTCTTGACTGTGACTAGCTGCTTCAGGATCCTGCCTTGATTCTCCCAAAATGATACGCTCTAGCCTGGAATTGTGAGCCAAATAAACTTCTCCCTCAAAGTTGCTTTTTTTTTTTTTTTAAGGGTATTTTACCATCACAGCAACTGGGCCGGAAACTAAAACAAAGTGCCAAGAATTCAATAGGGACCTTACAGTCTCTCAACAAGTAGTGTTCACATGTCGAAAAACAAACAAACAAACAAACAAACAAACAAACCAGGCTGGGCTTTTGCCTAATGCCAAATGTAAAAATTAACTCGCAATTAACTAAATGCCCAAAAGTGAGAGTCAAAGCTACAAAATTCTTAGAAGCCAACACAAATGAGGTTTTTGTGCATTAAAGGACATTATTAACATAAAAAAAAACAAGTCAAAAAAACCCATAAAAATGAAGAAAAATATTTTCAACTTCATCTCATAAGAAATTAATATCCAAATTATATAGAAAACTCTGAACAACAACAAAATCAAACAACTCAGTTTAAAAATTAATAGCTGAAATAAAATTAATAGCTGGATATTCCAACCAAGGAACATGCATGGAGAGAACCTAGAACCCCTGTACAGATGTAGCCCATGGCAGCTCAGTATCCAAGTGGGTTCCCTAGTAATGGGAACAGGGACTGTCTCTGACATGAACTCAGTGGCTGGCTCTTTGTTCACCTTCCCCTGAGGGGGAAGCAGCCTTGCCAGGCCACAGAGGAAGACAATGCAGCCAGTCCTGATGAGACCTGATGGGACAGAATCAGATGGAAGGGGGGGAGGCCCTCCCTATCAGTGGACTTGGAGAGGGGCATGGGAGGAGATGAGAGAGGGAGGGTGGGATTGGAAGGGAATGAGGGAGGAGGCTACATATGGGATGCAAAGTGAATAAACTGTAATTAATATAAAAATAAAAAGTTAAAAAATTAATTTAGCTGGTTGGTGGTGGCAGTGGTGCACTCCTTTAATTCCAGCACTGGGAAGGCGGAGGCAGGTAGATCTCTGAGAGTTCGAGGGCAGACTGGTTTTCAGACTGAGTTCCAGGGCTACACAGAGAAGCCCCATCTTGAAAACAAAACAAAACAAAACAAAAATTAATAAAAGTATTTGAATAGACACTTGTCCTAAAGAAGAGACAGCCACCAAGCACATGAGAAGATGCTGAACATTATGAATCTTTACAGAAATGCAAAGCCAGACCAGAGTGTGGGGCTGCCTCACTCCCATCAGGGGGATATTACACTAACATTTTGAGGTAATAGTATTCTGCTCTTTAATTTTCCTATTTTAATTCCTATATTATTGTCACAAAGTAATCCTTGGCCTTTCTGTTACTCCTACATAGTCTTAAAAAGCAAGCCTTGGTTTGCTATCAGCATGCCAATGGCATATCAGACTTTGGTTCTATGCAGAATTTAACAAATGCCTGTTTTCAATAAAGAAGAACCTCACAGTTGAGATGGTTACAAATGGTTGTTTCAAATGTATCAGTCAAGAGATGTTTTGTTAGTATTTATGTAATTTTTCTAGTCTCCAACCCATATGATTCTACACCAAATTAATTTAGCTAGTTTGTCTAGCTTGTTGCATTTGTTAACTATTGAAAGAAACCACAGGCAGCAGAGATGAAGTTTTCTGCAGAGTTGGGTGGGGGAAATGGGGTCCTTTAAAAGTCAGCATTTACAAGGGAGGAGTCACAATGTGTTTCTGTGGTTATTTCAAGTGGCATCCTCCACATACACAGGAGGAAGGCATATTCAAACAATTTAAATCTCATTATTAGAAAAAGAAAATATAGAGGTCACAATATCTTTTAAAGAGCTGTACCTTATTCCATTCGCTTGTGATCCGTAACAGAATGCAGTAATCGCTTCCTGTTTTCAAAGGTGCATTGTAATATCCTCCATAGTACAGCCTGTCTCCAACAGAGATCTCCAACGTGTCATCTGGAACATCACTGGCCAGTATTTCTGCAGCCACATAGCCATCAGCAAGAGAGGTGTTGCCAAAAAATGAAGTCATGCCTTCAGAATCACAAGAAAATGTGCTTTGCAGGGACAGGGGAAGGACCAACACCTGATATGAACTGGGAGAGGAGAAGAAAGCAGAGAAATTGGCAGCTGCCTCGTGAAGAAGGGGAATCTGGCCCTTGACCCAGATGTGCATAAGGGCCACCAGCCATTGTTTGGAGGACTGTGTATTCATGTTCCTGAACTCACACCATGCAATACCTACTTTAGAGACATACCGGTGGACAAGAGACACTGCTGGCCCACATGGATTTAGCACCTGGCAGTCCCAACAGTCCTGGGCCTCCAAGTTTCTCTACAAGCAGATGACAAGCTGAAGCCCAGTTTCACTGGGAGACAAAGTCCAGCCTCCCTCGGTGGGAGAAACCGGTGCATGTGTGGATGCCTTGTGTCTGTCACATGTTGGTCCAGTGTCTCATGGGCAAGCGAAGCCTGGCACCAGGGAGGGTGTGAAGCTGGATCACATGCAGGCCAAGCACCTACCACAGCGACTGTGCTAAGTCTGAAAAAAGGCTCCAGACAGTCAATCATGTGGCGACTTAAGACAGAACTCATATGATTTACATTCCTGCAGTTCAGACAGGCTGGCATCAAAGTTCAACGCCAAACCAGTGAGCGGTCAGGAGTAAAAAGTCACCGTGAATTCATGTATGCTGACAAGGTCCTGGAAAGGTAAAATGACATACGGATCTGTTGAAAATGTCCCCTAAATAAGGGCATAGAAACACACTAACAATCAGGAGTAATTTTGCTGAGTGTTTTATCCACCAAAGAGAAAAGCAGCCAGTGGAAAAATAGAGAAGAATGAAATGCACGTGATCAAGTCGTGCCTCCCTTTCCATTCCTGCCGGCTCAGCCTTTATTTCTGGTATCATAAATGTGTGAACATCTCCTGTCTCTGCTGAACTTGATAACAAGGGCTGGGAGAGGGCTTCCCGGGCTCTCTCTTGCATCTGCAGGTCCTTTCATATCTCTTCAGTTATGTTCATCTCCCCACAAATAAGGAAAAAATGCTTGAACCGGCACCAAATATAATTAGGGTGATTTCCAAAACTCATTAGGCCGATAATTCTATTTTACCACCGACTCTGTGCTTCCTGCTCCATATTCCTAATGCCCCATTTCCTGCTCCCTAAAAGCGCATGAATCATTGGGTGATGAGGGGGAGCCCTCCCTACTGTAGCTACTGAACTTGGAAAATCTCCAGGCACCTGCTGTGTACTCAGCCATGGTAGGTGTTTCAGGGCCCTGATTTTCACAGAGCCTGGGCTCACTTTCAGAAAAGGCCTCTGAACAGAGAAGAAGTAAAACCTGCCAGGAACAAAGAGTTGCCAGCAGCATCAGCTAACACCGACTGCCTTTCCACTGCCTATGGGGAACACATGTGACAGCTCTTCTGGGGACTGGAAGGTATGGCGGCCACAGGTGAGAAGCCACACACTGAGCATGAACACACTTCAGATCTGACTCATCCTGCCAGGTAAGCAGTGATGGCGAAGTTCAAGACTCACCCACACCCAGCTGATTCCGTGCATTGCCCATCACAGGCACTGTTCTCGGGGCAGGAAGCAGCCTCCAATTCAGCCTCGTAAATACAGAAATTCTCAGGTCCCATCCCAAACCTGCTGAATCAAAATGTCCTGGACCAGACTTGGGAATGTTCGCTGCTGACAAAGCATGTCAGCTGAGATCAGCCTCAAGGGAGCCCAGGGACAGGTCTGACCATCTCTTTGAGCTCTACGAGCTCTGTGCCAGGGTTCACACAAAAGACTAACACAGGCTCTGGCCTGGCAAAGCTGATACCTCCGGGGCAAGCCAGGCAGGGGAAGTGACACTGCTCACCTTCTGGTAAACATCCCTGGTCACGTGAAGGAAGCAGTTGCAGTGGGTCGGAACCTGGCCACCGGACCAGGCTGCAAGGACTTTCCCCCACTGCCCTCCCTGGATGACTCACAGGTCTCCACTTCCTGTTTTGAAGGCACTGGTTAACACAGGGCCACAAGGGTAGGCTGTCATTTGGCTTTCCTTCTCGCCTTACGCAATTATTTGGCCTAAGTATCACATCTGCACTTGTAAATTCGTTCAGGCAATGATGCCATGCTTCTGTTCCCCTCATAGCGATAGAAGTACAATACTTTCCAGTAACTTACCAGGAATTAAGAAACAGAGCGGCTTGGGCAATGTCTTTCCCTGAAAAGACTTGAACCTAGTCCAGACTGAAAGCAGGACAACCCTACGTTCATAACAAATGGATGCTCACAAAGTAGCTCCAGACTTGCCTTTCCATACTTTCAGAATACCTCAAATTTATTTTAACCCTGATTGCATGGAAAGGGCCATTACACTGAGGGCCAAGAATGATAAAGGGCCGTGCAGGTCAGGCCATGCACACCGTCGCTCCTTGACCTGGTGCTGTTGCTCCCATCTGCAGGCCTGTGTTAATCTTCCTGACTGATTCAATTTCCCTAATTCTCCCATAACCTTTGTCAATAAAATGCAAAACTGAACAAAATGAAGTCCTCCAACAGAGGCAAATTAGGTCCGTCCTAATGCCATCTGCAACCCCAGCAGGCAACTACACAGTCTTGCCTGCAACTCAATATGTGAACAGATAAAAACAATTCTCTGAATGACCTTTTCAGAAATCACTACCCCCCCCCCCAAGATCAGCCTGACAGAGAAGGAAGGCCTCCTGGCTCTGGGAAAGCCTGTCTGAGGGTCACAGTTCTTGTGACCCACCATCGTTAAAGGTTGTACCGTGAGACGTGAATTCAAGGGCTACCACCCAATGTTGTCAACTGGGGTTTGTGACCACGGGAACACCTAATTTCTTGAGCTATGCTGCCAAATGTTTGTCTCTGGTTCCCCAAAATCTCGCTATTCATTTGGAAAGATGCTACTGGGATGAGAAGCCCAGAGTGTGCTCAAAAGAAACAAAGCGAGAGGCCCTGCTGCACAGCCCCAACTTCCAAAGTTCAGCCACGCATGCGGAAGTCTTCTCCTTCTTGTAGCAGGACCACTGAGCGGCTGAAGAAGAGACAGGCACTCACCTGATAGGTCCATTTATCTCCTTGGCTTTCCTCAGCCTGAAGCGTGGTAGAGGCCTTCCATGCACAGTGAGAAATTCTACCTCTGGGAGTGGGGACTCTGAAAACATTAAGAAGGAGAGAAGACGGGAGGCGGGAGATCAGATCAACTACAAAGCACCAAGAAAGAGGTCCTTGAAGATGCCAGGAAAGTTTTTAACCTAGAGAGTGAAATACCCAATAAACAAAAAGGTGAGTATTGTATGAGTTCTTTTGTGAAACATTCAGATTAGTCAAATTCATAGATGGAGAAGACTAGAGGGTGGCCAAGAACTGACGGGTGTGGCAAGGAACCGAACTCACTGCTTAAAGCTCAAAGGTTTTGTGTGGAGTGATAAAAATTTTGGAAACAGGTAGCGGTGGTGGTCGCCGAACGCCCTGAACCTAATAAAGCATATACTTACATGGTTAATATTGTTACACTTCAGCTTATCTTTTTTTTTTTTCACAATAAATACCTACTGCAGATGGGTCCTGGGGGTTTGATGTTTGCTAGACAAATTCTTACTTGGTGGGTGCTGTAGTTTAGGGATGGCTTAAGGGTGTCATCCCCAAACTCCAGGCATTGGAAGCTTTGTTCCTAGAGTAATGATGTAAGAGGTGGTGAGCCTTTTAGATGCAGAGTCCAGTAGAAGGCCTAATTGGTCAGTGAGGGTAATGCACCTGGGGGACTGATGCTGGTTTCAGCGAGTGAGTTAGTTCCCAAAAGTGGATTGTCATAAAAGCCACAAGGCTGGCCCCACCCTTCTTGTGCTCACTGTTAAGTCACATGGACATTTCCTTAATTAACCCATTCTGAAGCCATCTACCACAGAGCCCTCACCTGGAGCCAAACTCACTGGCACATTTAATTATAGCGACAGAAAGAGGATTGATGCGGTACAGAAGACCAGCCCCTCAGATATCCAGACCCTTTCTAATCACGGTGTCTTGTGTCTCCCCCTCCCTCCCTGTTTTCCAGCCCTTGGTAACCAGATTCCCCAGAGATTCGTCACTGGCTGTTCTGCCATGTCACTGCTAGTTGCATCCAGGGTATCTGTGCACCAGATGCCAGTCTGCCTGTGGGCAATATAAGAAGGACAAAGCGAGTACTGGTCTTGCATACTAGATGTGTCCTGTCTGCGTCTCGCCTTAACGGAGCTCCCTGGAAAAGCTGCCGAGGAGACAACATGTGTGGACACAGTCATTTTTTCCCTCTCTTGCTGTTCCTATCTTGACCTGTGCATGGCAAGTTCTAGCCTTGCCAAAAGCCTATGAGAAGAGCTTCCATTTGCCTGTCTAGCCACATGATTTGAGAGGAGGGCTATGGTTAGCTGTTGTCCCCCTAGGGTCCCACCATTTCCTTTTTCTCTTCAGGGTGTCATCCTGAACATAGGACAGGTATTTTCACCCCACTTTCATCCTCTGCTCACTAGGCAAGTTGAATAAGGCAGGCATGAAGCCAGGCCTACAGCTGTCAGTTACATGCATTCGACATCTCCAGAAGCAGAGTTCAGAGTTTAAGATGGGAGCCCAGGAATCTTTATTTTATTTTGTTTCAGCTCAAGTTGCTTTCACCAGCAACAGAATAGCTAACTAGATCTTTAGCTCACTTTTTGTTTTTTTAAGACAGGGTTTCTCTGTGTAGCCCTGGCTGTCCGGAACTCACTCTGCAGACCAGGCTGGCCTCGAACTCAGAGATCCACCTGCCTCTGCCTCCTGAGTCCTGGGGTCAAAGGTGTGTGCCACCACCACCCAGCCTCTTTCCCACTCTTAGGTTTCCCTCACTCAAGTGTTCCTACACTCGGAGGTGGCAGCAGTGTGAGTAATAAACACTCTTGACATCTCTACTTTGGACAGTTTATAGATGAGGAAACTGAAGGTGTGAGTTCTTTGCCCAGAAATGTTTACCCTGTAGTAAAGTAGAGGCAGGATGCAAATGCTCTCTGTTATTTACCTTTCTCATTTACCCCAGGGGTCTCTTAAATGACTTGCTCCACCAAATCTTCCATTGGGTTGATATAGCTCCTTTTGGTGAATTAATAACATCCATTTTTAATACACTGAGTGAAGAAAGGCTTTGTAACATGCCAAATCCAGGGAAATAAATAATCCATTCTCACTATCATACTGTAGTATCAGGGGTTTCCCCGGGAGTGGGGGGCTCACCCTGGGGAAGACAGTTACCGTGCAAAATAATTACACGGTAAGAACAGGGGCCCCGGGTAAGAACAAGGGCCCTGGCGTCCAGGACCCTTGTCTCCAGCTGCCCATCTATAAAATGGAAATAAGAACCACACCCACTTTTATACCTAATCAACAAACTGAGAAACACAGTTCCTGTAACATTTGGTGTGTCTTCAAGGGGCCAAGGCTGCCTGAGCTCCACGACCTGATCAGCTAGTCAACAGCTTGAAGACTGTCACCCACAATGACGCCAGTGCTCCTCACCTAAAGATGCCTGTCAGCCAAGAGGGACAGATAACGTGATGGGATCTGGCACAGAAAAAAAGACCTGTGTCACTGAGGTCACTGACTAATGATCCACAAGACACTTTAAAATTAATCCGCTGTGGTCAAGTTGGGGGAATTCAGGTGAAAGGTTCTAAGTATCTCCTTCTTCATCCCTCTCCAAATCTGAAAGACAAATTCTACTGAGCTATTATGCCAGTTTAAACACCTTCCTTAGGTTAAGTTTAAAAATAATAAGTGAATTAAGAAACCGTTTTCTTAGCAGCAGCCCCTCCCCCATACAGTTCCTATAGGGCTGTCACTTATGAGTCCCCAAGCTTTGTCTGACCTAGGCCCTAAGGACACAGATGACCACACCTAGTTTAAGAAGAGTGATTCCTTTAACTCTGAGGGCACTCTTGGGTCATAGCTGTAAATGCCACATAAGGCAGGGTGCCCATCATTGCAGGTCTGTGGAAAAGACCTCAGGCAAAAAGAAGGCGGAATGGCTGAGCATCAAGACCCTGATGGCCCGTTTGTGGATGGATCTTACTGTGCTTCAAGTGAGATCCCTTCCCGGACTTCCAATCCAGCACATTCCACCGGTTAAGCTGTTTTGAGTTGGTTCCTGTCATTTACGATCCAAAGAGCCTTGACTAATTTTAGAATGCATCTAGCCACCCCCACATTCTGCTGAAGGGCAGAACGCACAGCTGCATGTGGTTTGAGGGAGCTCTGGCGGCAGGCAGAAGCAGTTCTCAGGCAGTAGTGGGGACTAACGTGAGTGTAGGCAGATCCCCAACCCTCGTCTGACAAGCTGAGTTCTGGCAGTGGAGAGAGAGACTGACAGGGCACAGGTCAGATCTGAAGACACTGACAGAACTAAAGATCTGAACCAGACATGCAGTGTAGGAGCAGAAGAGAGGGTGAATCGGAAAAAGCAAAAGTCAGTAATCCAGGAAAGAAATGCTTTTAGTCTGAAAAGGGCCAGTGCAAGAGACATCCAAGAGGTAGGACAACATGGAAGACAGAAAATGGAGGATCATGGGCTACCCCTATCGCCACTGAGTCAGCTATGATGCCATTCACCAGAGCTTGGAGAAAGTCTGGAAGCAGCTTGCATCTAGAAGACTGAGACTGAAGTACGTGTGGAACCGTCAAGAAGGAAGCTAGAAATTCACATTAAATCTAGAAGTGCTTCTGAAGTCTCCAGGCACAGTGACACAGATTACGTTTCTCACTGCCAAGAGCCCTAGTTAGGGGACTCAGGGAGAGCAGCCCCTGCCTACAGGTAAGGCTTCACGAAACACCTTCGTGAGAGCCTTCTCTCCTTTCAAGAGGACTCCAGACACATCTGAGAAAGATGGCTGCAAAAGACACAGGAAAACAAGGCAGCCAAGCCAGGGCAACTTTCTCCAACTGAGAAGTCTGCCCTTAGGTCTGAGTGCCATCGCCATGATGGCGGTGCTCTGTAGCAACAGGAAATAACTGTCCCTGTGAGCCACGTTTCCTGTGATCCGGCCCAACTGAAGAAACCGATCACGTTCATTGCTCAGCCCCTCCCACTCACTTCTCAGTTGCTCCTCTTTCTCCTCCAAGATAAACAAACAGTCCTGGCTGGGCTCTCTCTTGACCAGTCTTTCAATCCACCTAGGTTCTTCCCCCCAACCCCCAAGAGACGCAGAGCAAAGCTCACCCACTTGGAGAACAGGTGTAGGGAACAGCAGGAAAGCTACCCTTGTGTCCCAGCCACCCAGTGTGGGGGACAGCTTGCAGTTCCAAAGGTGCCGGCTGGCAGCCGATCAACACATGGTTTCCAGGGAGCTTTGCTTGCTCAAGGCCCTTCCTGACTGGATCTGTTCCACACTCTACACTTCTGAAGTGTGAACTTCAACAAGCTGATTCTCAGCCACATTTCGAGGTGGAGTAACCCTGACTCCTGGTTCAGTCATCCAGTGTTGATCTTCAGCTCCCAAGTTGCTGTCCTGGGCAAATCTACTCTCTTTTCCATCGCCACTCTTACCGATCTAAACTACATCAAACCCAAAGCAAAGCAAAATAAACCACTCCTATCTGGGGTATGAAATGCAGTCCTTCATCACCATGGGTATGTGATGTGGAAGTAGGGCCAGAGTCAGGCTTTCCTTACCATTCAGAGGCTCCAGTCACTACAGCACTCTCCTTAGAAGCAAACCACTAAAGGGTACCTGGGGTTAGTGTGTGGAAAAACCTAACAGAGAGGAGTAACAACAAACTTACAAACAGGAACAGTACAGGGACATGAGAGAAGAGCACGCAGTCCAAGAAGACCATGGCCCAACAAGCTGAGGATGTAACCCAGACAGCTATTACAAAAGGTAAGCAAGATGTGGGTTAAAAATCCAGGAGAAAAGCTGGGTGTGGTGGTGCAGGCCTGTAATCTCAGCACGAAGAGAAGCAAAGGCAAGCGTATCTCTGTGAGTTCAAGGCCAGCCTGGTCTACAAAGTGAGTCCAGGACAGCCAAGGCTACACAGAAAAACCCTGTCTGGAAAATCCAAAAAGAAAAAAAAAAAAATCCAGGAGAAGAAAATTCCCATGTAGTTTCAGCTTCATTTCATAAGGCAGAACACAGTCTAAATAATGGCAGCTTA